AACTGTAAAAATTTCAAGCACCAGGAATCGTTTTAATTGTTAAATAACATAGATTTTGAGGAAACTGCAAACCCAGGCTTATCATACATTGCCTACCTTTCCTTGTATTGGGTCAGCAACTGATAAAGTTTTTCTGTTTCTCCACTCTCATATAGGTAGTCTGCTTGCTCAAGAATTTCTTCAACTCTGAAGACTAAAAATGAAACAAAGACACAATAAAGTAGGCTTTCCCAAGCCAAACGGCAACAAATCTAAGAAACATTTTCATATATAAGCAAAAGAAATTAGATATAAAAATCACCTAAAAATAAGGATCAGAAATTCTGAAGAATCTAGACGTAAGTGTAGTAGAGATAAAGATGAAGCTGTCACAATAAGTGACTTATTGAAACCACAAAAATTAAAAAAATTAGAAAACTTATTGTGGAACTAACCAAATATGATACGTTTTCAAAAATGAAGACGCAATTTCTTGTGAGGAATTTATGGTACCCTTACCCTCCACACAACCTCTTTGTTGTTGTTGCTAAGTGTCATCCATTGCAGAAAATAACGAGATATAACATCCATTTCCAGCACTGAAAATTATTAATTTGCAGGGACTACACCATACTGTTTCACTAGATTTCTCTTTATGACCTAACTTACCAGTATTATGGAAAAAGAGTCAAATTTATCATTGAGGGGTGCCTGCGTGGTTCAGTTGGTTAAGTGGCTGCCTTTGGCTCAGGTCATGATTTCAGGGTCCTGGGATCAGGCCCCATGTTGTCATGATTGGGTTCCCTGCTCAGTGGGGAGTCTGCTTCTCCCCTCTGCCTCAATTCCCTTCCCCCTTCCCCACTCATGCAGGCACTCTCCCACTCTCTCACTCAAATAAGTAAAATCTTTAAAGAAAAATTTGTCATCAAAAACTTAGATTAATTTAATTACACAGAGCATCTGAAATTACCTCACTAGCACTCTGCTCCAACCAACTCATTAACTTATTTATACATTACTACAAAATATATATATTTTTTAAGGCAATGTAATGCTCTAACAGCATATTTCAGGTTGAATTTAATTTTTGAAAAATTAAAGCCTAGAAGAGAAAAAAAAATCTTCTGAATTTTAAATAACAAAATGAAGTACTTTTTACTAAGTTAACATCATAATGTAATTATAAAACTAGTTTAAAGAAATTAAATGACAGGGCACCTGGATGGCTCAGTCATTAGGCATCTGCCTTCGGCTCAGGTCATGATCCCAGGGTCCTAAGACTGAGTCCAGCATTGGGCTTCCTGATCTGCAGGGAACCTGCTTCTCCCTCTGCCTCTCTTTCTCTCATGAATAAATAAATAAAATCTTAAAAAAAATAAAAATAAAATGACAACAACAAATTCTTCTTTAATCCTACTTCAATCTGGTTAGGTGTCATAGTTCAATATTCATATGGCTGGTTGATTTTCTTAGATTTGCTTCCATTTCATTTTACATTTTTATCAGTGGCTGATTCTCCAAATTAAGGTTATAACAACCCAAAGATTTTTTTTTTTTAAGATTTTATTTTTTTAAGTTATCTCTACACTCAACCTGGGGCCAAACTTACAACCCAGAGATCAAGAGTTGCATGCTCTACACCAACTGAGCCAGCCAGATGCCCCATAAACCCAAAGATTCTTAAAAAGAGAAAACAGTAATCTTAGCATTCTTCATCAGTATTTGTGGTAGGTAGAATAATGGCCCTAAAATGTCTACATCTTAACCCCTAGAATCTGTGAAAGCATACAGGTTACATGGGAAAGGGGAATTAAGTTTGTAACTAGAATTAAGGCTATTCATCAGCTAACTTTAAAACAGGAAATGATCCTGGATTAGCCAGGGGGCCTAATATAATCACAAGAGGCCTTCAAAGTGGAAGAGGAAGGCAGAAGAAGGAAGTCAGAGGAAGTATAACAATGAAAACAAGGCCAGAGTGAAATGATTACTGGCCTGGAATATGGAGGAAATGGGTCTTCAACTAAGGAATGTGGAAAACCTCTAGAAACTGAAAACAAGGAAAAAGATTCTCCCCTACAGCCTGGAACACAGCCTTGCCAACTTGTGGATTTTAATCCAGTGGGACCCACTTTGGACTTCTGAACTACAGGACTGTAAGATAATAAATTTATGTTGTTCTAAGTTATTAAGTTTGTGGTAATTTGTGACAGCTGCTGTGACAGAAAGCTTATACAATATTAAATATATTGATGTGGCATATTTGAATGTATACATGGTATGTGTAAATAACAAAGTTACATTTAATTCTATTCATTGACTCTTCTCAGACTTTCTGAGAAGACTGATAGAGATTACTGTCCTTAACATGATCTAGGAATGCTGCATCTCATCACCCACGTAATTAAAAGAAAAATATAGAAATTAAGTGAATAATTTAAAATAGTTTAAATCCTTTTCGTGTATACTATTCCTTCTTAACATCTTAAATCACTTATCTATTTTTTATTATACAGCATAGTACCATAAGCTGTAATATCTATGCTTTAAATATGTGGGTTTTTTCCTTGATTCTTAAATAGAAATTTCAAAAATCATACAGTGTGCAACTTACCAGGAAAAAATGCACTTGCTCTGATACTACAAACTCACATAGGTACTAGATGGGAGCATGTAGACCACTCATATCTGCAAATCAGCTGTATAGGGTTTTTTTTGCTTGTTTAATGCTCTGTACTTTTCCTGAAAATATTTAAAAATAAGCTATGTTACTGACATAAAGAGACCATACTGTTAAAATGGACTAAACTTTTAAAGTAAATGTAATAATGAATATCCCAAGATGAACTGAGACATTAATTCATCTGTACAAAATCTCAATTTAGCCTAAAATGAATATGCCCAAGATCGTAATTCTCAGAATTTTTAAAAATGTCATTGATATGACATGAGTTAGTAAACTTTGGTCTACTTGTTTTCTTGCTCCGTGTATTCTCAGCCACGTGAGATCTATCTGGACAAAAAAATACTCCTCAAAGTAAGCAAAATTGTTCTACTTCTGGAAACTTCTCCCTATAGAAATTATAAAGTAGAAAATGAACATCTAGATTCTTCAGATACTTGAGGATTTTTCTCTGATGCTAGAAGGCTCTAAGTAGCAACTACATAATCAAAATTTACGGCAAATTTTCAAACCAACAATACTGTGTCTCAGGAGCACTGGAAGCAACACCTCCTGAGACGCCCTGTAGTAGTTACAAAGGAATACAGAAGAAGGAGCACTCACCCCGGGTCTGTAGACTGATCAAAGTGGAATCAATGGAAGTGTATGAAAAGAGCCAATTGAAGTGATTATATGAACAACCTTTACTTAAGATGGGCCACTTGATTTATCTTTTAGGCAATTTACAAGTGAACTTTCACACACACACACACACACACGAGTACTGTGACTGTAGTGGCATACCCTGAAGGGCTTTAAATTTTATCTATTTTAAAGAAATAATGAAAAACTTCCTAATGGAGTTTTTCAATTATGGCTGATAAGTAGGTATATGCCCTATCCTGTGGTAAATATAAACGTTACCATTTTAAGAGTCCCACAACCCCAACCAACTGAAATGTCAAAACATACATATGTCCTTGAGGCGCCTGGGTGGCTCAGTCAGTTAAGTGGGTGCCTTTGGCTCAGGTCATGATCTCTGGGTCCTGGGATGGAGCCCCACACCGGGCTCCCTGCTCAGCAGTAGAATCTGCTTCTCCCCTCCTCTCCTTCTGCCTGCCACTCCCCCTACTTGTGTTCCTCTATCAAATAAACAAATGTTTAACCAAAAAAAAAAAAAAAAAAAACCCCAAGACCTTGCTGAACTTTGCTAAAAATAAAAATATGTATATGCCCTTAATTGTTAAAAATGATTCAGAATATGATTGTATCCCAATAAATGAAGAAGGAAAAAAATGTTTTAATTGGCCTCAATGAGAATGAAACAGCCCTAAAGAGAAGTAAGCAGTTTTGATGAGCAAAATTGTCTGAAAACCATTTCCTAAAAAATATGAAAAATAAAGATCACAGTATAGCAAATAGGAGAGAGATATAAGCCAAAGTAAAACTTGTAAGGACTGATGAAATTATAGTTTTACAGAAACATGGATCATTTTCCAAGTTTAAAAGAATCTGATCTCTGTATTTTATCAATAACTAATGTTTTTTCAAGGACTTTGGCCTAGTCGCACAAATTATAATGGACATGCCAATCAACTAATTATAAAGTGACATTTTATTTAAGAAAACAAAGCTAAAGAAAAATCAAAGCAAGCTAAATCAAAATCCATACTCTGTTCTTTGTATCTACTTTCTAAGTGCTCAAAATATGCTTGAAAACACAGGAAGGATTCTGTAATATAAGACAATTTTCCTTAAAATCTATAATAAAGCCAGTTTAGTTTTCAGAATAAGTTATACCTTGGAATATTAAAATGTTATTTTTTTAAGGTCAAATCAAGGTTTCATCTGGAGTTAGGACTGGAACTAACATTTAGAATTATTTGTATAAACTTTTACATTTGTAGAGGAAGTTATAACTTTTTTTTAAAAGCATATAAATGAATATATATATATATATATATATATATATATATATGCCAGCCAGAATGAAAGAATTAGCATATACTGGCTGAAAAGAACCAGAATTTCTGTAACACACTAAACACATACATCATTCTTCTAGACCAAATAGCAACCATACACACACACGAATTCAAGTTTATTCAGAAGTTTGTTATACAGGGGTGCTTGGGTGGCTCAGTGGGTTAAGCCTCTGCCTTCAGCTCAGGTCATGATCTCAGGGTCCTGGGGATCAAGACTCACACTGGGCTCTCTGCTCAGCAGGGAGCCTGCTCCCCCCCACCACCTGCCTCTCTGCTTACTTGTGTTCTCTGTCAAATCAATCAATCAATCAAAAGTTTGATATACAATCCTACAACTACTATCTCTCCTTTAATAACTTCAGGATGGTAGCTCTAAACTTTAAAGCTTGTTCTCTTTCTAAATTTCCCAAAGTTTTTCTGCACTCTTTCTCAAACAGATTCCTCTTCAGGGGTCAGCTTGATCTTATTAAGGTTTGCAATACCATTCCCTCCCAGGATACAAGGAACACTAACAAACACTTCATTTATTTCATAGAGGCCTTTCGTTATAGTGGAAACTGGATGCACTCTCCTAAGATTCTTCAAAATGTTTCCCGTTAAGTCAGCTACAGTGAGGCGAACAGCCCAATTAATATAACCTTTTATTTTAACCATCTCACAACCACAGGTTATCACTTCTCTGTGGACATTTTCCCAGTCAGGATCTTTATCTGTTCCTATATCTGAATTCAGATCCTTCAAGGGGATACCAGCAATGTTAACTCCACTCCACACATTTACACCCGAGTCTCCATGTTCTCCAAGGATCCATGCTTTCTGAGTGGAAACTAAGTCTTTGCCCAATAAAGAAATGGAAACGGACAGTGTCCAGATTACGGCCACTTCCAATAATACGGTTTTGAGGAACTGCACTCAATTTCCAAGATACGTAAGTTAAGATATCCACTGGATTGGAAACAACTATCATTTTGCACTGGGGACTATACCAGGTAATGTTGGAAATCATTAATTTAAAGATGGACACATTTCTCTTAACTACATCAAGGCATGTTTCTCCTTTTCCAGGGCGTGCACCTGCTGTCATAATCACTAGGTTGGAGTTTGCAGTGACATGGTAATCTTTGCTGGAAACAATATATGGCATTTTCATGAAAGAGCTGCCATGTTGAAGATCCACTGTCTCACCCTTCGTTTTGCCTTTATCAGCATCCACAAAGGCAAATCATCACTCAAGCCTTTTAATAAGATGCTGATAGCACATGCTATGCCAACTGATCCAGTTCCTATAGTAGAGATCTTACTGTGATAAATGGTCTCCTCTGAAGTTAAATTCTTAGTAAATTCACACCTGACAGTTCCCATTTTGGAGACAGGGATGAAGGACCTACTGTCCCTTAGGGGGGTGCATGCCACCTGGCAGGGACGCAAAACCATCCCTAGGCAAAAGACATTCGCTCCTACAGGGCCTAGTCTCCAGCTTGACCGCAGGACTCCCCCAGCCCAGCTCATAGCAGCTGGCTCAAGAGGTGAAGGAAGGGAATGGAGGAAAGCACTTTTGAAAAAATGGACTATCACCATTAAAAGCTAAAGTTAACTTCAGCTTTGCTTTTCAAAGTGCCATATTTTACATCTTTGCACTCATTTCTGTACAGAAAGAGTGCTAAAGCACACTGAAACTAAGTGTGACAGACAAAAAAAAAAAAAAGATTAGAGTACTAATCTCTGCTCTGACACTTTGACTTTGAAGAAGTTAAACTGCGAACTTCTTTCTCAAAAGTTAATACTATAGGGGCACCTGGATGGCTCAATGGGTTAAGCCTCTGCCTTAAGTTCAGGTCATGATCTCAGGGTCCTGGGATCGAGCTCCACATCAGGCTCTCTGCTCAGTGGGGAGCCTCCTTCCCCCTCTCTCTCTGCCTGCCTCTCTGACTACTTGTGATCTCTCTGTCAAATAAATAAAATCTTAAAAAAAATTTATTAAAAAAAAAAGTTAATACTATAATGCGTGGAATCTGGCTAGCTCAGTCAGTAGAGGTCCTGACTCTTGATCTCCAGGTCCTGAGTTCCAGCCCATGTTGGGTATAGAGTTTATAAAAAAAAATTAAAAAATAAAAAACAGACAGAAAAACAAAAATAATATAAATAAAAAACACCTAAGATGGAACACACACAAACACACAGAGAAAAATATTATAACAGCAACCACTGGGCACATCTCTCAGGGATACATTTTAAAAAATTATTATCACGTCATAATACAGTTTGTCCTTACTACTTTACAAGGTTGCTGTGAGAACTGAAGTTAGGTGAAAACTCTAGGGAACCAAGTCCTCTACTTTATCCATCACAAAGATTATATGTTAAAAAAAAGGAAAGATAAAACAAAAACAATTGTCAATTATGGGCTCTTTTTTTTTTTAAGATTTTATTTTATTTTTTTATTCATCAGAAACAGAGAAAGAGGCAGAGGGAGAAGTAGGCTCTCTGCAGAGCAGGGAGCCTGATACGGAACTTGATCTGGGATCATGACCTAAACTAAAGGCAATCACTTAACCAAATGAGTCATCCAGGCACCCCTTATCTGCTCTTTTAAAGACAAGAATAATCATGGGAAATTGAAATCAATGACTAGCAGTTTTTACCTAATATTCTCATATTCATCTATTACAACTTTAATAAGAACATCTATTCAAAATAAAATCTCTGCTTCTTTCCCCAATCACTTCTTAACGATTAAAAGGTGGGGACTATAAAAAACAAAAAAAGCTTGACACATGTATTAAAAATTTTTCTCTAATATACTAAAATTTTGCCTCTGTCAACACACACAACTGGTTTAATTAACGTCTTTTAAATATAGCAAGTCTTGTTATGTACTTACCTAAAGTATATCAAATAAGAAATCTGATAGAATTTTTCTATTTTTCAATCAGTTACTTGATATTTAATATGAAACTGCATTTTGTTTGTAAAAAAAAAAATAGTAATACTAGAAAATACTTTTACCTCAAAGTAATTGGGCCTTTCTTAACTATATCAAGAAGAGTGTAATACCTTGGAATTAAGGAAACAAAAGAATTATTGTGTCATAAGGGCCAGATATAGATATAATCTCCGTGTTATATCCCTCTCTCCCAATCCCTCAAGCCCTTATAAATGTAAAAAACATTCTTAGTCCAAAGGTCCCATAAAACTACAAAGTATTAAAAAAGTATTTCCAGGGCACCTGGGTGGCTCAGTCGTTAAGCATCTGCCTTCGGCTCAGGTCATGACCCCAGGATCCTGGGATCAAGCCCTGCATCCGGCTCCCTCTCCCACTCCCGCTGCTTCTGTTCCCTCTCTTGCTGTGTCTCTCTCTGTCAAATAAATAAAATCTTTATAAATAAATAAATAAAAGAGTATTTCCCACTGAAGAAGCTGTAGTTGCTGTAAGAAATTACAAATACACACACATATATATATTCACAGAGATATAAACATATATAATATATATAATACATACATATAAAATCAGACTCGATGAATAGAGAGAAAAGCAGAAATATTAGAACAAAGTTTCATTATTCAAAAATAACTCAAAGTTACTAACAAAATATAACAAACATAATTAACTCGAAGTAGTACATATATTTAGCTTAGGCTTACCTTTGGCTGTGGCATGAACCATAGCAGCCTGGGAAAATACTTGGTATGCTTCAAAACCCAAATAAGGTAAAGCTGAGAATAAAAGGCTTCTTTTGAAAGCTCCTAGATTTCCCATCACCTGTGGAAACAATTATGGTCAGAATTAAATCAAAAGCAAAATGTTGAAGGAACAGCTACCTTAAGCAAAAATTACATCAATTAAAAAAAAATTACAATTTTCTTCTACCCCTAAAGCAATCAATCCTAAATAGAATATTGGAAGCTCAAAATGTACTTCATCAAATTCTTCACTAAAACTATTTCACAAATCTTGCCATTTGCAAAGGACGTGGATGGAACTAGAGGGTATTATGCTGAGTGAAATAAGTCAATCAGAGAAAAACAATTATCATATGATCTCTCTGATAAGAGGAATTTGAGAGGCAGGGTGGGAGGTTGTGGGGGGTAGGGAAGGAGAAAATGAAACAAGATGGGATCAGGAGGGAGACAACCATAAGAGATTCTTAATCTCACAAAACAAACTGAGGGTTGCTGGGGGTGGGGGGGGTATGGAGAGGGTAATTGAGTTATGAACATTGGGGAGGGTATGTGCTATGGTGAGTGCTGTGAAATGTGTAAGCCTGATGATTCACAAACCTGTACCCCTGGGGCAAATAATACATTATATGTTAATAAAAATAATATAAAAAACAAAAAAATTATTTCACATAGTTACATTAGAGGGAGAGCATACTCTTAAGAAAAGATTCTTAACAATGGCTAAGGCTAACAATAGAAATTTATCTAAAAATAACAGTCATGCTAAGTGCTGGACTATAAGATCTACGTTTTATTTGAGGAGACATGGATATTATAACTATGAAATAAAATATGAGATACTAATATACAATAAGTACCAATCCTAAGACCAGACAAGATGAAAAATATCAAATATGGTGATTACTACATATAAAAATGTACATGGATTTAAAGATATCTTCAAAACCCACAGTTTTGAAATAAACAATGAATAAAATAAGGAGCATATCCAAACAGATTCGTAAATTAATTTTCAGTATTATGGCCAGAATTCTCAAGACCAATGGCAAAGGAGTATACAGATATCACTCTACCAATTCTTTCCTACAACAGTTTGTTCTCTTTCACAAGATAGTAACCTTTTCTCCCTTTCTGTTAATTCATTCCCACTGATAAAAAAATGAGCTATAATATCTTTTTAAGTCATTATTTCTCCCTTAAAAACAAAGAGCTTCCTCTTGAATTCACTCCTCCCTTTAGTCTCATGTCTAACTTCTCTTTTCAGCAAAACTTTTAAAAAGTTATCAGTACTCTGTCTCCACTTTCTCTCTCGGACTCACACAAATCACTTTTATCCCCACAACACCCACTCATGGTATTGCAGTTAAGGTAATCAAGGACTCCTATAGTCAATTCTGAATTCTCAGCTTCCTTGACCTATCAACAGTATTTGACAGCTAATCACATCCTTTTTTTTTTTTAAGTTATGAATGGAAGTTTAATTTTTTTTAAGATTTTATTTACTTATGTGAGAGACAGTAAGAGAGCATGAACAAGGGACGGGGCAGAGGGAGAAGCTGGAAGCATGATGCCCAGCTCGATGCAGGGACTCCAGGATCATGACCCGAAGGCAGATGCTTAACTGACTGAGCCACCAAATCACCCCTGGATGTTTAATTTTTTTTAAACATCTTTATGGAGGGGGACCTGGGTGGCTGTCGGTTAAGCCTCTGCCTCTGACTCAGGTCATGATCCAGGGTGCTGGGATCTAGCACCACAATGGACTCCCTGCCCAGCAGGGGTGTCTGCTTCCCCCATGCCCTCTGCCCCTACCCCCACCTGTGCACCACTCTTTTTCAAATAAAATAAAATCTTTAAAAAAAATAAAAGTTTTATTGACATATAAGGACATACTATAAATTGTATATACATAACATGTATAATTCATTAAGGCATGCATATAAACCCGTGAAACCATCACTATCACCACAATCAAGATAAAAGATATCTGTAAACCCCTCCCCCCTCATCCTCAAGCTTCTCTGTAATACATCCAGCCCCTTCCCTCAGCACTTGCTGGTTGTCTGACTCTTGAAACACTTTTCACTTGGCTTTGGGAACACTACTATCATTCATTTTCTCTGGTTTCAACAGCTGCTGCTTTTCTTTGGTTGGTTCCTCCCTAGCCAGGTGTGTTTTGGGCTCTGTCCCCAGACCTTCTTTTTTCTACTTCTATCATTTTGGTGATTTTGTCTTTAAATAGCCATCAATGTGCCAAAAACTGACAAATGTAATATGAAGCCTGAGTGACTCCTCTAAACTTCAGAATCATATATCCAGCAGCTTAATCAACATCTATTTCCACATGAAACACAGCCAAGTATCTCACATTTATTAGCCAAAACAGGTACTATTTCCCTCAACTTTACCAACCTCACAACTCTCCCTTTCATGTTAAAAAGCAACTCTTTCCTCTATTAGGTTAAAAAAACAAAGAAGCAAACCAAAAACCTTGTAGCCATTCTTGACTCTCTCGCAGGACTTATATCTGACCCATATTTTAACTTTTCATAAGGATCGAGGATAGGAATGAGGAATCCAACATATTCCAATTTGCTGAGTGCTTTACTTTCTTGCGCATGAATATTCAAGATATTACACACAACTGGATTCAAAACAAATCAACAGCAAAACAGGAAAACTGAATTTGACATAATCACAATTTTAACATTTAACTTCTTGAGTTTATTCATATTTACCAAAGAGAAGCAAGATAGGTTTAGGAGCAGAGGGTTTGGGGATGTGATCTATGGTGCTGGTACTTAAAAGAAAAAGACTAAAGATATCATCAGTAAGTTTCCTGATTCCCTACTTTTTTAAAA